TTTGAAAGTTGTTTTTAAGAGATTTGGTCAAATGCTTTATAATATAGTATAAATATTATTAGTTGTAGTATACTTCGGTTTTAGATCGATTGACCATGGATACCTATAATTTAAAATTGAAAACAACCTGTGAATATCTGGTTTTTTCGGTTTTCGGTTTCATATCAAATGGTTCGGGTCATTTTCTTGGTTTTTCGGTTTTTTACACCCCTAGTTTTAGACACGTGACGCACTCTAGTTGGACCCTCGATTCACAACTTAACCTTCCTATATAATGAACGTGGACACTCATAATGTATATGTAGGGTCTCAAATCGATTTTATAACCTTCTAAAAACATAGCGGAAAAATATTTTGGGTTACTTTATTTGGAAAAAAAATCCGAAAAGAAACTCTAAGCTATATCCAATGACATTTAAAACAAACCATAAGGTGTTTCAGAGAACACCTTTTATATCTGATGTAGGTTCTGACGGGACACTTAAAAATCAAATCAGTTTTCATTCATCGAAGATCCACACACGAACACGCCTTGGCCTCTACCAGGTGCTAGACCAAAACCCTAGCCTATATGTGTTTATACAAAAGAAAGAATAAGTTTATTTTCTATATTTTTAGTAATCACTAAATCTAAGATATATATATATATATATATATATATATATATATATAAAAGGTTAACCTTTTAGGTTTAGGCTTATGTTTTTATTTATAATTAGTTTATCTGAGTTTTAAACCAACTATAAAATCAAATCATGGATTGGGCTTATGATTATCAGGGGTGTTCATCTAAACCGCCAAACTGTCTACATCGCACCATAAGGTGCAACTTAGAACTTCCATGTGCGGTTGGCATTTGCATTTTTACCAAACCGCACTATGCGATGCGGTTTTGGGTTATCAACCGTGGTTCAAACCACACTGCACCACACATTATATATATATATATATATTAATTTTATTTATAATATATATATATATATATATATATATATATATATATATATATATATATATATATATAACGGAAATGTAAGGATTACAAATTAAACCTTTCCCTAGGTCTAAGATAGGTGTTACTACAACCAATAAAACCGCTATCTCCAAACTATACGAAAAACGTCCCAAACAGCTAAATCTTCCACGTGCATTTAATTAGCATCCAACCCTTCTCGAGTGTCGCTAATACCGCTCATACGAGAACCTGATGCACATGCCGACAAGAAAAAATGTTAGCCTTAAAGCCTAGTGAGTTCAAACACTTTTCATCATAATTATAAAATGATAAAACTGAAAAATTGCTTATTTAAATCACCAATTTTAAAACAAAATGTCATTACCATAAAAACAAAATCTTTCTAAAAACCCATAATTTTCGTGATGAAAATGCAATAACACAAAAAACCATTTTTATATGAAACCAAAACTCAATATTCGCGCAAGACATGAATAAATCATGATATTCAAATATTAGAAACATGGATAGAACTCAAGTATTCAAAGCAACAAAATAGAAATAATAAACGACATCCAAAACATCAAATCGTAGGTACATTTTGTACCATAAAACAACATCGAAGAACTTAGATAAAATATCATATCAAAACATACCTTTAAGTGACGGAGAGACCCGATTCCACTGAATGTGACGTACCACAAAAATAATACATATATCTATGTTATATGAGCTTAACTATGGATCAACGATCATTAAGTTCAACCAGCCATGATCTATAGCTTAATGAGCCATCAAATTTAACCACCCAGATCTATAGCTTGAGATCTCCACAGATCCTAGTTAAGCTTGTGCACTAGAAATTACATTATGTTGGTCACTGTCCAATGCCCGACTCAAAAAGCCCACACCATGTTGCCTATAAAAACTCAATGCCTATTTCAAGCTATAATGCATGATTATTCATCCCATTTAAACCGACTCCTATGCCTATGGATTCATTGCATTATAGATACACAATAAATGCAAATCACGTTCAAAGCTTAACATTGAAAATTTCAATCCGGACAAATGTCTCCAAAACTAATCCTAGTGAAAACCAAGCCAATAACTCAAGGATTCATTTGACTATTCAATAAAATACAAATACTCAACGTTCATTCAACTTATACCCCCAAAAGGTTTAAAGATCTTATTATTAATTTAAAGGTTGGACAAAATCCCGAAAGACATCATGGCTTCAAAGAAGCATTTCTTAATAAGCTGTGACACCCAAAATGTGCCCAATAACTCAACCATGTATATTATTGAATGATTTATAAAATTAAAATACCAAAAGTGCCTTAAGACAACAAATTTAAGTGGTTATTTGACAATTGCTGAATGATTTGGTGCAGAATAATTAAGTGGTCAGAATGATTAAAAGACTCTCATGATATAATACAAAATGAAATATAATGTTTGGTAATTGTTTACAATGAAATTAGGACGCTTAATAGTTAAGAAGGTCTAAGATATAAAATCATTTAGAGGGTTCAGAACCATTAAGAGACAAAAATTGTTTTTTTCACCAAATAAAATTTCACCTCTTGATGATTCATAGGTTGCCTCTTAATGGAACTATTAAGAGGTAAACAAATAACCCATAAATCTAACATGAACCACAAATGAACATAAGCTTCAAATATACAAAAACCCCTATGCTAAAGCTTAAAATGTTTAAGAACTTACCACTTTAAGAAATTGAGATCTCCCAACCTAAACTCTTCCATGGAATCCTTCCAATTTCCCAAACCAAACTTCCAACCATCAATTCATTGGAGTCTTCAAGATGAATCCGTCTTCAGATGCTCCAAAACCGAGTCCAAAGCTCCTAAAATATTTGCCCCGAAAGAAGAGAGAAACGACGAGAAGAAACCCTAACCGCATTCGGGTTTCGTGTCAGGTCGCTCGAGTTTCTGTTTTTGCTGCACCGCATTCCGACCATTTCCCACAGTTTATTTTAACATGAAATTATGGATCCTACATGATTCCTCTCCGAGTTTGTGCCTAACAACACAAAAGAGAAAGAAAATTTTCTCTTTTTTCATTCAACGATAACGAATTCGATTCGTTTATATAGATACCATGGAGGCGACATTTTGAAAATCACTAACTTGGTTGGTATAACCAATATTTTTTTGGTCAGAATTACTCAAAATAATCTTCACCATACTATTATTGTATTTTTTTTCTAGATTCATACTCATAATTTATTACAGTATAAGTACAATCTCTTAATACTACATGTTTTAACTTCAAAAAACATCCGATAATCTACTTTCATAAACACATGATAAATATTGAATATGAATAATATCATAAAATACTTTTAGGGGATGTTTACTTGTGGCTTAATTAGGCTTATTGGTCTATCTGACTTATTCGCACAGCTCATTTGGGTTGTTTACTTACGGCTTAATCGCACAGATAGAAATGGTGTATTGTCCCCGTGCAACCACAAAAATGACACTCGTACCCCTTATTTAAAGCATCGCCTCCTTTCCAAATGAGACACACCATCGTCAACGTCTTTATGATTTTTTGTTTTGATGTTCAAATAATTAATATTGAGGGGTAAATTATATTATTTAGACTGTTGGTTTAGATAAAAAAGTAAACAACAACACCCATTTATCAAGACCGACAAATTTATCCGAACAGACAAATTTATTCATACATGACTTAATAAAAAATTTGGTAAACAACCTTTTAGTTTGATGTATTTTTAAATTTTAATTAAAAATTACATTAGGTTTATATCCTCCATTTATAATAAAACAATTAATTTAATATATAAGTTTTAAAATTTAGTTACTAAATTAGAAATAAAGTAAATTATGTTTCTGGTCCATGTGTTTTGTTAAATAATTGTGATTTTTGTTTTTATGATTTAGAAATTGTGATATTTGTCTTTATAATTTGTAATTTATTGTTATTTTAATTCTTATGATTTATATTTTGTTGTTGTTTTGGTCCCTATAGTTTAGAATTTGTTACTATTTTGGTCCCTATAGTTTATAATTTGTTACTATTTTGGTTCCTTATACTTTATAGTAGGAATTAGTCCAAAAACAAAAATAATAATTAATCACAAACCATAGAAATGGAAACTGAAACCTATACTATATTATAAGATATTTGACAAAAACTTTTAAAAATCATATTTTATATGTAAAATATGTTTATTGATGCATATTACTTTAAATTCAAGACTATAAGTAAGTTGCACGTAAGTACAACTTATTAAACTCTATGTTTGAATTCGTGTAATTAACTATAGATAAATATAATCAAATATAAGATAAATTTCTTATTTTAAATATAAAATCTAAAATATAATTAGGATAATTTTTGAGTTCTAACAAGATACTTATTTTTTATCTTTATAAAAAGTTATATTATTAAATAAAAAATAAATTACTTTCTTATTAAACCTAAATTAAATTGTAATAAAAAATTAATTAAAGAAATTACATAAGAAAATGAGAACTTTTATATATCTTTAATTTTTTTTATGATATCTTCAAATTTATATTTTATCAAAAAATATTATTGTTTACTCAAAACTATATAAAGTCGTATCATAAAATCGAAAAAGACCAAAAAAATAAAAAAATCAAGATATATTTTGTTGTATTGTGTGAGTACCTTTCTAGTTATTAACAAAGGGATGAAACATCAACCACAAGGGTGGTGCCTGATTGGTTTGAGCTTGACTCCAAAGGTCAAAAGTATCAGAAGGTCATAAGTTTAAATTTAAGGAGAAATAAAAATTATCTTGTGGCTACGGAAGTTCAAATACAGTGACTTCGAGCTATCTGTAAAATAATGGTTATCCTGAGATTAGTCGACTCGCATAACGGGTTAGATATTCAGATTAATAAAAAAAGGGAATGAAAATCGTAATTTAGTTTTATAAATAAAATAAAAATAATTTATCCAAAGTTGGGCCTAAAATGGGGCAAAGATATGAGAAAGAAGCGGATACATATACACTTTCCACCGCCGTTCTGTTTTGTGTTTCAAGATTTTTAGGGTTTTTCTATCTCCTACTCTCGTTTCGCCAAACCCTTCTCTCTCTAAATCTCTGAAATCATGACTGCTCAAACTCAAGAAGAGCTTCTTGCTGCCCATCTTGAACAACAGAAGATTGAGGTACGCATCCCTTCTCTTTATCAATCAAGAACTTGATCTGTCATTTCGGATCTGTTTTGATTTATCTGATTTTATCTCTTTCTGGTTGGTATGTTTATGTTATTCATTAACTATGTTAGTTTGATTTTACTCTTTCATGTTTCGGTTTTAGTTACGGTATTATGTGATTCTGTTTAGCAGAAATTTGGAAAAATGGAAAAATTAGTACCTGTACATGTTAAATGCTGCTAGAGAAGCTTGATCTAGTTCCGCACTTCATAATTATAAGGTTTTGTGGCTATTGTTGTGATTGTTTACTTGTTTATTCTATGTTTTTAAGATTGTTTTTGAAAATGATTCAGAGATTGGGTATCAGTATTGCTGTTGGCTTCATAGAGAAAGGTTTTCCTTCCATTTATATGGTAGAACTTATGATATAGGGGAAGATCTAACTTTTGATTTTGTCAATACTGAGATGCAGTCGCACATGAACAGGAGGCAGCTTGCATGTCTCCAAAGCCCTTAATAAAGGCATTTGTAACCTCAATCAAAGCTCTCTACAAGATCTATATCAATACAAGTTTTCAGTTATTTTTGCCTAAAACATAAAATTAATGGTTCTGCTGCTGTTATTTGGTTAGATTGCTACAAACAATTAATGGGAGAAGATAATGTAAGTATATTTTGGTTTAATACAGTTTTACTAGAAAAGTTGAAGCGAATTTATGATAGGATTCACAGTTCATGAAGTTATTTTGGCAATTGTAAATCTGATTCATGAACTAAAAGCTATAAGAAAATTGATAAATAATGAAATAATATCCCAGCACTTCATTTTTACAAAAGTGCTTCTGATTTTGAGGTCGGTTCTTTTACATTTCTACTTCAAAATTACCTTGGTAGTTTGGTATACTTTCAAAACATTCTTGCTTTCATTATATTTCCTTGTAGTTCTTTTACTCTACTTTTGATGGTCATGTATAGCAACATGGTTTTAAGTGTTTTTGCATTGATTTGATCTTCCAGTATGGCAACCAGATAGTTTTAAGCTTTACCACGAACGTTTTTGAATCCTGGGTTTAGTAACATATTATCTGATGTTCAAATTGGTACTTCTTGCAGCATGAGGAACCATTGGTTGAAGATGATGATGATGAAGACGATGATGATGAAGATGACGATGACAAGGATGAAGATGATGTTGAAGGTGAGAGTGAATTTCAACTGAGTGCATGATTTTGTAGTCAAATTGTTGCTTCTTTCTCCACCATCTCCTCCCTGTTTCATGCTATCAGCCATTTACAACCTTCATTCAGCTTTCAGTTGTGCACGTTTAATCAATGGATGACACTGCTCCTGTTTTTCTCTTCTTCCATGTTTGTCTACATGTTTTTCTCTTCTTTCGTGTTTGTCTACCATTGAGTATATGTTAATCAGTACCAGCTAATCCTACTTTAAATAGTGCTGAGGTATTATTAGGGGCAAAATACATCAAATGCAATGAAGTTGTTCTAATCTGTATTTAGTGTAACAACGGATTTTTTCAACAACAAAGTGTTAAGAGTTTCTTATTTTGTACCCATTTGACCGATAAACTGTTGATCTTGTAACATTTGATGTTGTGGATGTCATGCTGTCAACTTATATTGGTCAAAAAATATATGATGGTGGATCATATATATTGATTGACATCTTGATGTTGACGGTATTGGGTATGAAATAGAAAATTTTAGAACTTTGTTATATTAATTAGGAGCTAGAGCGAACTTTGTTGTATTTTGAGCTTGTATACTAGATATCACTGTATAAATATATAGTGGTTATTTTCTTTTATTCGAACCAGATCATCTTTTGTGATCACAAAGGTAACGGTTTGTCTGGAAGCAGGACACGGAGATGGAAGTGGGAGGTCTAAGCAAAGTAGAAGCGAAAAGAAGAGTCGGAAGGCTATGCTAAAGCTAGGAATGAAGCCAATTCCTGGTGTTAGCCGAGTTACCGTCAAGAAGAGCAAGAATGTTAGTTCTCTATCTTTGCTATATCATAAATCATTTGCTTAGAAGTCTCAAAAACAACTTACTGAGCATTAGGTACTGCTTATTGATGCACAATATCTTAAAATTTCAAGTTTACAGGTAATTACTGTATACAGATAACTTCTTAACGCTCTTTGAACTCCATAAAACTAACTAATAACCAACTGATAAGCACAATTTAAATACAAGATAATCATTGAGCTCTAATAAGATAGTTGACAAAATGCATCATTATCTTTATCCAACAAAAAACTTTTATCATTTAAATTATAATAAAATTTTGAATTAAGCAAATATACCAAAACCCAAAATTTTATAATTTTAATTTGACTTCTATGTGGATATAGTTTTTTTGGATCTTCAAATTAGCAAGACATGAGAAATTGCATTAGTTTTCCAATATCCATTTACAAGACATTAGAAACTGCATCTCACATGTACTTTGTTACCCCGATGGTTGTTAGTGCGCATATTAACGAAAATTGCTATCTTGCAGATTCTATTCGTTATCTCGAAGCCTGATGTATTCAAGAGTCCTGCTTCAGATACTTATGTTATATTTGGTGAAGCCAAGATAGAAGATCTAAGCTCACAATTGCAGAGCCAAGCAGCCGAGCAATTTAAAGCACCAAATCTTGGGAACGTGGTATCAGAGCCTGAACCAACAGCCATGGCTCAGGACGATGAAGACGTGGACGAGACCGGAGTGGAGCCAAAGGACATCGAGTTGGTTATGACACAAGCAGGGGTGTCGAGATCAAAGGCGGTCAAGGCTTTGAAGGCCGCAGATGGTGACATAGTATCTGCTATTATGGAACTCACAAACTAGGAAGGACTGAGCGCACCCCACCCCACCCCACCCGTTGAACAAGTAAATTTTCGTCTTTTTCTTCGCGTTAATGAGGTTTAAGATGATGCTATGTTATTTGTGCATGTTTTTTGAGATTATGAGCATGTTTTTAATATGTTGCTTCTGCTTGATGTTTTTCTTATGGTTGCTTCTGTAACTTCATGAGAAATGACAAAAGAAAACGATATGGTTTGATGATTTTGGTATGTGTTTCTTAGTTTTGGTTTTGGTTTTGGTATCGGTATCGTATCAAAGTTTCTCCCATTTTTGACATGTATAAATTTTACAAACTAAGAAGTGGATAGAAGCAACTGAAAAGCACATATTATTGGGTTGCACTGTCAATTTGATAATCTACGTCCACAATGAACATGAAATGCTGTATTTCGGTGATTAATCAAAGGTTACAAAACATGTTTATCAAATGATACAATATTGATTGAGATATCATATGGTAGTCTAAATGCCTTCTACTTAATTTTTGTTCTTATCTTATAAACCAGATTTATCAAAAGTCTTAAAAACAATTTTTAATGCACAAAGTACTATATATTTATGCACAAAAGTCTTTAAAACAGCTCATAATGCATTAAATACTTCTATTTTATGTATTCAGTCTTAAAATCTATTAATCTATAATTGAAAGTACTATATAGTAGTATAGTACAAGTTATCAATGTACATTGTTATCTTTTCTTTTCATGTTCACAAGATACTTTTGACACCTTTTATTTATGTCTTTACTTTCTCATACCTTTGTCTTTTTCTCATCTCTCAAGGTGAGATTCAAATTGATATTCATCATCAGTTATTAAAAGTTCTCATTCAATTGCTCTTGAACTCGCAGTCTCGCTCTCGATCTCTTGATTCTTTGCTCTTGGTGTAGATCGAACACATTTGTGAAGTTGTTTAAATATATTGGATTTTAAACTGTAATACAATTTTTTCTATCGATGGACTGTAATTGGAACCATAACTCTTATTTATTCAAATTGTATTAATATGTAAAGACCAAATGTACTTTATATCATCGTTAAATCTTCTCTAATAAAACTAGTAAACTTCAAAAGCGTTAAAATTCACGGCTCCCGTCACATTACACGGATACAAAACTAGTCTTGAATAAAGTTCTAAATCAGTATGCCATGGAAAAAAAAAACACATTTTATATTACGTTTTATTGTTGAATTTTTTTGATATTAATTATCTCGTAATTAATAGAACACAAAAACCAAAAATACCCTCATCTTTATTTCTATTAACAATGAAAAGATCGTCTTTTTACCTTTGTCTTCAAAGTGTATATATGTAATTTTAATTCTTACACGTATTGGATCAAACTCAACTCTAACCAGAAGACTTTAAAAAAGATTTTTCGAATCAATATGATGGGTTCTTTACAATATCATTGATGAACGGCATTAAACGAGTCAATACTTCCATGAGCATGACTAAAAATCCTTGGATTTCTTCATCCTGGCATGGGACACAATAAGGACGAAAGACGAATTATCTTCCTTCTTTATTACATAACCTAGCCTTGATTTTTCCTTCCTTTCTAGCCTACCTCTAAAGTTCTCCGCTGTTACATAGGGGCTCGAGACATGTCTCCTATCGTGCTTTCTTCCTTGCCCCTCTACTTAACTTAAGAATCCAAACGTGACTTCTCTCCTAACTAGCTTCCTACCCGGGAAGCTCCTCTACTCTGACCTCCTTGCATTTACCTGCTTTGGTACTTTTTAGAGGTAAAACATGCGGAACTTTTTCGAGATTTTAAAATGTTTCAAAGCGGCGAAAAGTCTCGCGAAATTCCCACGGCGAAACCTCGAGAGACTTTTCACTTGTCTTTTACGAGTCTGAGATCTTACTTTTACGACTACTCTACTTTTGCAAGTCCTTATCTCAAAAAAATATCCTTAAAGTATCCTCTATCTTAGAGTTAAGTAGAAATAGTCCACCACCTTATAATATAATGGATTGAGTTATATAGTGCCATCCAGATCTCGAACCACTCTTTAAAAGTTTATATGCATGCATGCATGTGTCATTACCTCATTGGTCGGAGGTCTAAGGGGTCCATACAATAAAAAATGGATTCTTTTTCTTTTTTCGATTTTTAGTTATTTTTAGAAGAGAGAAAGAGTAGAAACAAAGGGTACGCTCTCTAGAAGATTTGCTCGGAGCTGTTCACTTTCACTTGGTCGACTGGTATCTTAAAACCTCTTTGCTCGCGCTGGCGGAAACGTCTGAGAGCGCGCTTCGCGAAAGGATCATGTAGCACGATGAAGGGTTGCCGTTGGGGTTTTCGACTCTCTTGGTCTCCACCTACTTGTGGAAGAGGGAGGCGAGTTGATATTAAGGTGTCAAGGCGCTCAAAGAAGGCACAAGTGGAAGCAACCAATGCTTTGAGTCATTTAGTTGACTCCTATATGCCGGTCCTTGCTTGCTGGTAATAGCGGGGCTTTTGGTCGGTTTTACCTACCATTGGATTTCAACCAATGACTCTTGTCGTATGAAAGCGATACTCTAATCGCTGAGTTAAGTAGGTCAAGCTGAGTCAAGTCATAGAATATAGAGCCTTATAAGTATAAGAGAAAGCTTCGCAACCAAAGTTCCCCTTACTATACAAAGGGGGAGGACGCGCTAAGAAAGAGAAAACCTTATCACTATACTAAATGAAGCAGCGGCTAGCACGCTAGCTAAGATCAACCACTTGGAGAACGCGAAGCCTTTCTTTCTCGGTCGTATATTTTAATAAGTTAAGCGGATTCCGATTCATGTGGTCGTTCTCTGCTGCATTGGTGTTTTCACTCCCCACTCTCCACCATAACAAAATGTTTCCACTATATCTCAGGAGTAGTCAAAGGAAGTACGGCGGGTCCGAGTAGGAAAAAATGAACTAAGAAGTAGGGCATAGAACAATGGATCAATTCATTCAACAAGATCTGTTCGGATCAGATCAGGATGAATGAGATTGGTTTGACCTCTCGCTCAGAATTAACCCGCCACCGACAGATGTCCCATGCCATGTTTCGTGAACAGCTATGCTCGAGAATGACTGAATTGTGATATAGTGCCGAATAAGTCACAACTCTATTCCCGACATGAAATCCATAAAGGACTTTAAGAGAAATAGAATAGGGACCCTAAAATGCGTTGGGACGACTAGACTGCACTTTACATCATAGCAGCACGACCAAATGAAGGTGGAAAGCCGTATTGCTTTATATATTATACAAATATAGTATGAATTCAATTAAATTAAGGGCTTTTCCCTTATTATTGTTTCCGTCAGTCTTGGTTGATTTTGTCTCAACTCATCCTGACTTCCTCGTTCTCATTTTTTGACGCTCAATATATGTCTGTACGCAACACTAGACCTACATGAAAAAGTGTAGGCTCTAAAGAAAAAAAACATCTTAATATAAGAAGAAAATAACAATATCATATTCTCTATGTTCTTCTGTTTATAATCATGAAGGTCCACATCACTTGAGCCCCATTTGGCAAACTAGTTTATAGCTTAGTTGTTGTTGGCTAATAAATTTGGTGATGATAACATACTCACATTTTATAAAAAACAAATTAGTAAGTTCAATGACAATATGTAAGAATAGTAGTTAAAGATGAGAATACAAGGGTTCAAAAATTACAAAGGAGATCACCCAACTTCCAAATCAGCTCATTTACATCAACTTGGCTAAACCAAACCAAACCAAACCAAACCAAAAACCATACCATCTTATCACAGCGGTTAATAAACTACCAACACATTTACCATCTTATCATAGTGAAGTAATAGAATGGAAATAACAACATTCATATTACATATATATATATATATATAACCTAACCTAACCAAACCAAACCAAAAACCATACCAAATGAAACTAGACATCACCATGTGCTGATGTACACACCTCCTCTTAGTCTCGGTCCAGAGTCCGGTGACAGACTTCCAACCTACACACCCTCCTCCTCCTCCTCCTCTTCCTCATATCCATACTCCTCGGCCGTCGCATCCTGGTACTGCTGATACTCCGACACCAGATCGTTCATGTTGCTCTCCGCTTCCGTAAATTCCATCTCGTCCATGCCTTCCCCTGTGTACCAATGCAAGAAAGCCTTCCTCCTAAACATGGCCGTGAACTGCTCGCTCACCCTCCTAAACATCTCCTGAATCGAAGTCGAGTTCCCTATGAATGTTGATGCCATCGACAGCCCTTTCGGAGGGATGTCACACACACTCGACTTCACGTTATTCGGGATCCACTCCACAAAGTAGGATGAGTTCTTGTTTTGGACGTTGAGCATTTGCTCGTCCACCTCTTTCGTGCTCATTTTGCCTCGGAACATGGCTGACGCGGTCAGGTACCGCCCATGTCGTGGGTCGGCGGCACACATCATGTTTTTTGCGTCCCACATTTGTTGGGTCAGCTCCGGAACGGTGAGGGCCCGGTATTGCTGGGACCCACGAGACGTCAATGGAGCGAATCCCACCATGAAGAAGTGTAGACGAGGGAATGGAATGAGATTGACTGCAAGCTTTCGAAGATCGGAGTTGAGTTGACCAGGGAAACGAAGGCAGCAAGTGACCCCGCTCATCGTTGTAGAGATCAAGTGGTTCAAATCACCAACTATTCATTACATTATTAAAATACACAAAATCAGATGTGAAAATGAAACTAGAACACGAATTGCTTCAAAAGAGAAAAAAAGGTTGAAGAAGGCAGACATAATTGTAACTAATCCACCAAGGAAAGCTGTATATGACCAAAATCAGGTGTGTTTTTGACATGACAACTACATTTTTTGACACCAGAAATAATTGAACCCATACTTTCAATTATAAAAAGAGTGCCAAAACATGTGACGACAAACGATATGACAATATGTCAAATATCTAACAAGAAAAAAGACCTTACATTTGCCACCAAAATCAGTAATATACGCACCTACCTATCATTTTGATCAATTCGCCAGAAACTTAAATGAGTACCAGCGAAACCACAGGTATCAGTAAAATCCAAGTGGAAAATCAAACGAATAACATATACTCCCTCCATTTCAAATATGACGACAATTTTCATTCGGTCACATATTAATTGCGATCTTCTTTCTTTTGGCAAGTTTTAAGCTAAACTTATGTAAGTATCCCGAAAATCACCATTGTCTCTATGGTTGAAGGATATTCTAGACATTTGGTCAAGGTTCACACTTGTATTAATGTTTCATAAGAGTCGATTATCGTAATTTCCATAGGCTAGAGGACGAAGCACAGATAAAAGCCATAGAAACCATATAGGGAATAATGGAAAAACAAAGAAAAATAGGTATAGAGAGCTACTCACAGCTAGGATTGGTGAGTTTGAGAGTCTTGAAACAAATATCATATAAAGCTTCATTATCAAGCACCATGCACTCATCTGCATTTTCAACAAGTTGATGAACAGAGAGAGTGGCATTGTAGGGCTCAACAACGGTATCAGAGACCTTTGGTGATGGGAAGACTGAGAAAGTGAGCATCATCCTGTCAGGATATTCCTCCCTAATTTTAGAGATCAATAGAGTACCCATCCCGGAACCTGTCCCTCCACCCAAGGAATGGCACACTTGGAAACCTGCAATGATTCATACCTGAAATCAGAACAACAAATCTTGTACTTGCAGAAATCTGTTAATATGATGTAATTTGTAAAGTACAGATCTTTATAAAACAGAAGGAAGTAATATACAAAAATCCTATTTGTCTTTCCATATTCTACAAAACAAATGTGATAAATGTTAATCATTAAGCAAAAAAGGCAAGCTTTCATTTAGACCTTGCAGAATAATGTGATTACAATTGCAAGCTGTATATGTGTTGTACTTCTTATTAAGTTTTAATGTTAAGTGTGTATTTATATGATTTGATGAAACTTGCCACCACAAATCACCTTAATAAAAACAACTTTGGGTCAGTCAGGAGTAACATTGAAAGTAATAATGTGGTTTTTTTACCTTGTAGACAGTCACAGTTCTCAGCCTCTTTCCGCACCACATCAAGAACTGCATCAATAAGCTCAGCACCCTCGGTATAATGTCCCTTGGCCCAGTTATTCCCAGCCCCAGACTGACCAAAGACAAAGTTATCAGGTCGAAAGATCTGGCCGTAGGGACCAGTTCGAACACCGTCCATGGTGCCAGGCTCCAGATCCATAAGCACTGCACGAGGTACAAACCTCCCACAAGAGGCCTCGTTGTAGTAGACATTCACACGTTCCAGTTGCACATCAGAACTCCCAATATACTTTCCTGTTGGATCTATGCCGTGTTCCTCACATACAACTTCCCAGAACTTTGATCCAATCTGGTTACCACACTGCCCACCCTGAACGTGAAGGATTTCTCTCATCCTACCCTGAAAACGTACCAATTTACACAACGCAATTTCAAGAATTTAGTAATAAACAACGTTTGGTAGAAAACAAGAAGAAATAATTAAAATATTTTAAATTAATAACAAAAACAGAATGACAAAACGGCTTTTTAAGAGGAGAGAGCCAAGACTCTCCTAGGATTTAGATAAATGACGGTTTAGAAATGTAATATCTCACCCGAGAGGATTTAGAACTATGTCTAAAATACGATGAAAGGATTTGCTTCTATCGTCTTTCTTTTTGAATGGCAGAATTTGCACAGTTAGTGAATGTGAAAAATATTCAGAATTTGCACAATCTATCAAATGAAAAAAATTGTTCTCCAATATCAACATATGGATCTATCAATATATGATCCATATAGATCCATACGGCATACGTTTTAATAGATCAAACCGCAAAATAAACCAACAGGCATAAAGTATTCAAAGACCTGCTTCAGATGATCAACATGCAACGATAAACTAAAAACAAACAACAAAATCTGAATGCAAATACATAATCATGAAATTTCATGAAAAATGACAAAAAGAACTTACAAGCAACCTAACATCAGAACAGAGACGACGATGTAAAAACTTACAGAGAAGTATACAAAAACGTAACAGATCTACTACAGCTTTTCAGTAAATACAACTAAAACTATAAACTATAAACTAAAACTAACAGGATGATCTACATGCAAATACATAATCACGAAATTTCTTGAAATTGACAAAATAAAAGTGGCAAGCAACCTAACATCAAACCAGAGAACACGATCCAAATTCACTTGACAACGAACAAAAACATTAGCAGGTCTACAAGATTCTATACCGATCAAAGAAATTGAAAGATGAAGCAAACGATTCAGAATTTTGTAAAACAAACAAATCATAAAACATATGAAGTACAGATAGATGAATCAAGTAAAAGGAGAACAATACCTGTTGAATTGGTTGAAGGAGGAAGAAATCGGAGATGAATTTTGGGGAAGTGAGAGTGTGTAGAATACAGAGAAATGAAAGAGAGGTGGGAGGGGATTATATAAATTGAAAGGAAGAGTGAGTACGTGTTTCCCTCCTGGTTCTGATAACCGTCGGATGGAGGGTCCATCTGCCGGCTTACTACAAATGATTTTCGGCCGTTGCTATATATACTATTATTATTATATTATATTATATTATATTTAATATATAAATGTTACTTTCTGTTAATATCCTTTTTTATTAATAAACTCGGTATAAATATAATCATTTAGGGACCGTTTATTAAACATTTACCTGATAATTGTTTAGCGGTAAAATTTAATATTATCATTTACTTATTGTGTAAGATTTTAATCTACTAAAACGGTATCGTATAATAAAATAAAATATTTTTTATTTAATGTAAGTTTATATTTTAATACTCATATAACTTATTATTATTACATCAATGTTAATTAATAAATTAAAAGTTATAGTGGTATAGAATAATTTAAGGTGGATTTGGTAGGATGTCATTTTTTTTTCAATATTATATATCAATCAATTATAATTGATAAGTAAAATTTTAGACTGTGTACTAATTAATTATATTTGGTACCAATTTTTTTATTGGTATTATATCAATTTCAAGTTACAAATATGAAAACTTGTCATTTGCTTAAATTTTGAGTTTTTAGGTAACACAAATAATGCGTAATGATTTTTAATTGCAAAAAATAAAACTTACAAAACATTCAAATGTTCAAACAAAATAGTTAAAATTCATTTTGCATTATATCATGAGAGTCTCTTAATCATTCTGACTACATAATTATTCTGTACTAAATCATTCAACAACTGTCAAACAACCCCTGATTACATCCTTATACATTTCTAATTACACTCCTACCTAATACTTTTATTCTAATATGTACATATCAACATCAAAACTATTTTTTACATTTTCAATATATAAATTAACATTAAAATGAGTATAAATACCAATGCTCTTGATTATTTGATAGATGGCCTGAGTCTTGGACAAATGGACAGGTGTTCCTCACCTGGGCACAGGTAGTAGGTGTGCAGTCAATTTCTGCCCCTACATCCTACCTTTAAAATATTATTCAACAAACATTTAATAATATAAATTTAATTAAATTAGAAGGGTATTCGTGCAATGTATTGAGATACATTTTTATTTCAATGTTTCATTTTAATTTTTATCTATGTAAATATGATACGATTTTATATGGGTTTAAAAAAACGATAATGTTTTTATTTTTAAATAAAATATAAATTTGAAAATACATATAAAATTTACAAAAAATACATTAATATTATTATCAATTTAT